CCGTTCCTTTAGATCCAGGGGTGGACCTCGGGGATCCCCGTTGCGCTAACAACAAGAAAAATATATATAGTTAACCTGGAATATTTAACTACTACCTACTAATAACTGCTAAATAACGTGTTAACTCGGAATATAGGGTCGACACGCGAAAGCGTGCGCTATGTTGAGTGGGTTCTGGTGTGCATGATGCGTACGTTAGGCCGCGTTCATAGCTTGCGTTCGTGAAGAAATGCAGAAATGCGGAAAATGCAGAAGTGCGAAAGTGCAGAAGTGCGGAATCTGCAGAAATGCCGAAAGTGCGGAAAATCGATACGTATCGGTTGCTTTTCTGCAGATTCCGCACTTCTGCATTTTCCGCATTTCTGCATTTCTTCACGAACGCAAGCTATGAACGCGGCCTTACCCAGCTTGCAGCACTTACTATTTTGCCGAAAATGAGCGGTAACGCTCCGCGCCAACAAAAATGCCTTTCTTCCTTGGGGAACCAGCTCCACATAGCACATTTCATCTTACAAATATACATTATAGAGCGGTATCTAATGGATTTCCTTATAGGATGATCCCGTTAGTGATGAGGACTACGAGTACTATTTGTGGAAGAATTACCCACGTGAAAAGATGCAAAAGCTGCTTCAGGAAGAAATCCTCAGGTGGGTGGCTGGTCCTGCGCAAGTCATTCTATAGTGCTCATCACTGCAGACCGGTGGGGCGGGTGAGCCGCGCCGCGTGTGACTCGGCTGTGACGCGACTGTCATCGCTGCCGCGTCACAGCCGAGTCACACGCAGCGCGGCTCACCCGCCCCACCGGTCTGCAATGATGAGGACTGTACATCCCATCCGCATGCAGCAACGTTTTATTGAAGTGGAATCTTTGTAAAGACTGGATGGAACAAAGTTTTCGTAACTGTTTCATTTCTTGAATTACATTGTTTCAGTTACCCAGCACGTCGCCGATACCGTCGTCAATTCTTTGGTGGTTGGGGATTTCCTGGCCTCGGATTTGGCGGTTTTGGCATTCCTAGATATGGCCTTGGAGGTCTTTTCAATCTCGGCATTGGAAGCGGGGTCGGCGTCAGAACTCCAATTGGCAGCGTCAATGTCATCACCAGTGGATTTGGCCTGAGTATTGGCTGATCCCCATCATTTGCTGCCATAGATTTATGGAACTAAAGCTTTTCCATGACCGATGTATAGCATAACACGGTATATTTTGATCATTGTTTTTACCAATGTTTGCTTTTGGATGTTCCGTTCCTTTGAATGTTCTTGACTTGTTCACTCATTAGTTTTTGCATCATTTCCTGTCTAGTTGACTCGAGAGGCACAGACACAGAGAGAAACAACAAGCCGCAGCGCTGCTACATCAAGTGGATTCAGAGAGCGGGAGAGGGAATGCTGCGCATATCACGCACACAATTTGTTTGAGGAATCCTTACTTTCCGAAAAGCTATAGACAGTTGAAATTCGAGGTGCGGGTTGCAATAACTGAACAGGCTTTGAGCAGAGACGTTAAAAGTTTTGAAGCGCGCCGTCCTATAAGGGCTTCCACATACACGGAGAAGAGATGGCGACTGGTCCGGCATATTTTTGTTCCTTAGCATTCACCGTTTCATTAGCCACCCTGCTGCTGCACTCCGTCCCTCTGTCGGCAGCGATCCATCTTCGCTAATTTGTGGGTGGTCGAACACAGAAAGAACTGGTCGGTTCCATGGATTTTCAGGAGGGCTGTTTTGAAGAATATTCCTTCAATCACCAGCAAACTACGGCGGTATTACGTTCACGTCTACATCCGAAATTACAAAGTTACCTAGATGGAATTCTCAGTTGAACAAACTGACCTCGGGGATACTGTCTTGACGAGGTAGGCAGCTTTCAGACATCGCAATGACGCGCGTCAACACACTGTGACGAGTGTCGAAGCGCTACAACTGCAACAGCGCTCCAGAGGCATAGACGCCAACTCAGGCACAGATGGCCCGCTCCTCTCGATTCACGTCTGTGAACGCAACTGTGGACGGGAATCGATGGACGCCTGGGGAGACGGGCAAGAGAATCGGAATTTGCCGCTTCGGGAGCGGCGTTTTCTTAACTCGTGTTAACTTGTCGATTGGAGCACCGGACTTCATGTAGACCCCGTCATCGTAGACATTCATGACTATTTTCGGTTCTGAATTGCCTGTTGTCGCCATCTACTACCTGGAACCATCGTCATTTGCGGGCGCGACGTCGCCCACAGCGCTGCGAATTACGATTCTCTTGTCACATACCCGGCCGCCTGTGCTTCGAGAGTGTATGCGGGCATAAGTTTGTTGCCCAGTCACGCAGGCTGGGATCGATCGGCACTGGCCGTCTACGACTGCGTTCGTGCCTACAGCTTTGAGAGTACTACTGCAATCGTTACTGGGAGTCGTCGCGCGTCATCGCAGAGTCTGAACACCCTCATAGGAGCAGGTGAGCGGGCAAACCAAGCCAGCATGACATTATGTTACCTAAACGTTAGAAAATAATCTGTTGGTTTGCGACCGATCCAGGCATTGAAACTAATAGTTGCAGCCAGCTGGCACGATGATTTGGTGCTCGGCATAAAATGCTAGTAGGGCGCTATATAGAGGGAAATGGCGAAAGAACGGAGTGAAACGGTCAAAATCCTGCGAAGAAAGAGCCTCCGTTTCACTGTGTTAGTAATCAATTTTGGACGAGTTTCCCGTAGGCATCTTGCCAATAACCGCTACCGAAGGTACGGCTGCATATGTGTACATCCATGCAGCATCACGGCCGCTTCATACCAATCCCTTCGCTTCATAATTTGCTTAGCAAATGAATCGATTAGAGCGTCAGGAACGGTCGTCCATTTGTGGGCGGGCGGGCGTGGGCGTTTGGGTCGGTATGTTGTGGCTTGATAGGGCCCTTATAAGGGCACCTCCCTTGGAAAAGGCGCTATGCAGCGCCTGCTCAGGGTCGCGGAATTCCGTCCTGCCAGGCGTATTAATCCTACTCGTCTTGGGGGATTTATCGTGCCAACTGCCTTTAAGACTCGAAGACGGTTCACATAGACAGGTATGTATAACACAGCACAAATGGTTGGGTAGTGCTGCCCTAAAGAGGCAAAATGACGGCATTTTTATGCAGCGATCAGTTGATGTCGATTTGCCACCTGTGGTAAAAATGAATGAAAGCCGACATCAATGCAAAAAGCATCCAGTCATGATGATGATAGGAGGGGGTTGATGTGATGTTCGCTATGACCGCATTCACGTGACTAGCGCTATTTGGCGAATACCATAAAGAAAATGCTAAACGGCGACAAGAAAATTGTGGTCGAAATCACTGGTGAAGGTCACCTGTGCGCACGCCTTCGTCGGAACTAAACAACCCAAATGAGCTACTTTTTGAGAAAGAAACATCGAAATACTGCACTCGAGAGAGCAAGGTGGTTGTCCTCCAATTAGAAATACCGGAATAGTGTCTAGCTCCGATTCGTGGGCCGACGAGCGCCGACCTTCGAGAACGCATTGAAGAGACGTGATTTGAAAAGCGATTACCGTGATATTGCCTTTTGAATTACAAAAACGGACGACATTGAGGGAAAGGCGATGGAAAGGGCCTGAAATGTTCATGACAACGGAGGCTTGCCCTTGACTGGCCGTCAGGTCTATTCAGTCCACTGTACACTAACGTCCACGGCGCTTGGCTAACGTCATTACAACCTTTCCGCCATCATGATCAGCTTTTGTTTTCACTATCACACTTTCAGCGAGATTCTCATGGAAAAATACTCTGGGTATGCGCCCTTCAGTAAACCATAACTTTATCAAAACTTTTTCACTTCATTATTTCTGCTGTGCCTCTCGCGGTTTAAATGGGAAACCTTCTCATTGGGACTTTTCGACTTCACTTTTCAATGTGATCGCCTTCTTCACATAGCCCTAGCCGAGGATAGGGCTAGAGAATAAACAGCCCTCCCCCCACAACTCAAGCGCCTTTTCAGCCCCAGCAGCTCCAATGACGTAGTAGGAACTCAACAACGAGGCGTTTCACAACACGAAAAGTGCACTCCCCAGGGTTCCACCAAGAATTCAGTGCCACATGCTGATTGATACCAGTCAGTGGCGAATAACCGAAATTTTGTGTTTTTCCATCTATCACTCAGTTCACGAGCCCCGTGGACTTGGAGCGTGGATGAATGACATTTTAAGGGAGCTGCGATAAAAATGACTTCCAACATTCTTTCTCGCGTTTCTGTACCATTTGCTGCTGAGTCCATGGTCAAGATCCTGTGGCCGAATGAATTCTTTGCTCTAACATTACTTCATATCTTTGATCCTCTCCATTCTGTATCCATTTCAAAAAATAAAGGTGCCAGTGTTAATGTGACTGTCTGGTCATTTGTGGGCTGCTGGCTGCTTGTGTTTTGAGAGATACTGCCTTCCACAATTTTTCAATTTTTCTCGTTTTATCCTATTTCTTAACTCCTTCCCCTATGTAGTCCATGTCCATGCAACCCACTGAAGAGCCCGGGGGTTGGCAGGCATCAATGATTCGTTTGCGATCGGCGAAACGGATCATCTGTGCTTTGGAGTGTATTCCTTTCCCCAATATTTGTTTTTCCTTGTTTCTAATTCCACAATTGATACCCTCCTATACTTATGTGCTCTCCCGAAGCACTAGCGGCCAGGGCCATCGATAAAAGTCTGTGTAATTAAGCGCCTTATATACTCCTATTCTGATCGATTGTCTACGGTTGCGTTCCGTCTATAGATTCGGAGCGCTGTTACAAATGTAGCGCGTTGATGCGGTCATCTGAAGTCTGAACGTTAGAGTCGTGTCCTCGAACCTACCAACATCTTGATCGATATCGCGTTGAGGTTTTTTTCCGGATGCAATTACAAATAGTCCTCCTACTTCTGTGCAGATTTCTCTTGATAGAAGGACGCGATGACTTCGAGGAAAGAAAAGAATTCCACGGTGAGTCATCTAACATCTGCAAGATGAATGTAACAATATGGGCTACTATTTAAGAGTGGTTGTGCCGGAAGAGGCCATCATTATCGAGCTGTTCCAAGTCTTTTACAAAGTTGTCCTACGAGAAAGAACTGACTGATCATGGAGAACGAGGTACTCCGCTGCTGGAGAAGACGGCTGCCCGAGCATTTGCAGCAAGAGTTCGTTACTAATTCGGCTTTGAGGGGGCATTTCGCACTTTCACTAGTTCTTTGGGTCAATTCATGTCAACTAACACGTCTTACTCTAACCCCCGACCTCCTCTGAAAGTGCGAAATCGTTCGAGTGAGCCACCTTGGTCACAAGAATTCACAGATCTTCAGAATTCGTTGCAGACCGATGTCAGAAGGGATTCGCCATGGAACGACGCCGATGAAGATGAGGAATACGAGTACTACCTGTGGAAAAAGTATAGACGTGCAAAACTGCGTAGACGACTTCTGGAAAACAGTTTTGAGTGAGTTCTCTATTCTCCTCAGTTCATCTCACGGATGGATAGAATATTTCAGCAGCACTCCATCGATACATCATCACTACCACCACAGTGATCAGTCTTACCCCTACTACAGCAGACCAAGTTACGGTTACAGGTACGATCAAAATCAGTATGGACCACACTCGATCCTCCTTGACACGAGATAGAATTACCTTGGGCAGCGTTCAGACTTGTAGCGCGACGTAGCGGCTACGTCGCGCTCTCGCTCCGTCGCACGCTGCTTAGCTTCTGTGGACGTTTTGAGCGATAATAGCGAAGCCGACTTCGTCCAGCTAGTGTGTACCACATAGGTAGGGCCAGTTCACATCCCTACGGCGACGTTAGCGCGGCAACTTTCATAACGAACGATTAGCGAATGGGCAGTGAAACCATCGAAGCGAATGTTTTTCTCAGCTACCGCCGGGGAAGAAGAGAGGCCTACAAGCGTCTTAGAACGTAATTGTCAGGAACAGGCGAATGCGAAGAAGATGATGCGGGAAAGCAGGCCTCCACCTTACCCCCGCTAGATCTTTCTATGTTCACTTGAGAGCGAAGTCGAGCGATCGAACAAGCGTATTCAAAATCCATGAACGCGGACTGCGTCGAATTCCGCAATACCGAATGGGCGAGCCCATTTACATTCGTTCCATTAAAGCCTTTTGGGGGTTTGATGGCACAGTGGCCTGTACTGACGCCAATGTTCTAACCATTTGAATACAACGCGAACAGTACGACAAGTCGGGCTGGCTAGGCGAATAACTGCAGTTGGCTTCTAATCAGAGCGTCGGGTAGAGGCGCCCCCGTCGTACATACGCTTTGACGCGGCGCCAGCCTATTTCCATCAACGGCCGCCCGCCCCATGATGGCAGTGAACGATGGAAACGGGCTGACACCGTGCCGAAAACGTACGTAGGAAGGAACGCCTCCACATGACGCACAGATAGTGGCTGTAGTTAGTTTGTGCAACGTGGGCCTCCCAATGATCTTTCACTGTAGTGGGGATTACTGGGCTACTACTGCGTCAACCTAGTGCGATAGCAGGAAACCTGCGCGGACAGGCCGTCAGGACACAGAGCGTTTTCTTCCGAGACGACACCCCGCCGAAGGTCTTCTGATGAATCACGAGAATCAGTGAAACGCGGCTGACCACCGGGTGCGACGATCGGGATAAGAAACGACACTATTTTCTGTTTTTTTCTTGAAAAAAAGATCCGGAGCATGGAAAGAGCATGCGTACACGAGAGGAAGAATAGATCCGCCCCAAACTCTGAGTTCAAATTAAATTTAAAGCAAAGCATGCGTCTTCAAGAGTGCGTCTGCTTCAACAAACTGTCACCTGACATGGACCACTTTCAGGTATCCCAGTTACAGCTATGGTTATCCATCCTATGGTTATGGTAGGTGGATACGGTTATGGATATCCTTCATATGGCGGCTATGGCGGCTATGGAGGTGGTTATGGTGGTGGACTGTTCAGCATGGGAATAACTCGAGGGCTCGGCATCAGCACCCCCATTGGTGGTTTTGGTATTGGCAGCAGTTTCGGTATTGGAATCGGCTAACCCACCCACACATTCAGGCTGCGTTCAGACTTCGCGATGACGCGCGTCGTCGCGCTACCACAGCAAACACACTCAAATCTAATCCACGACAACGCAGCCGCAGAGTGCTATGGGTCGGCACCGGCACTCGGCGTTTTAGGCGAGTAGATGAGAATGGGAGATTATAAGACTGTGGCCTTATAAATGGCACAGAAGGCACGGAAGAACGAAGCCACAAAATAGCGACACAGTGTGCGACCGCACTGCAGACCAGTATTTCATGACCTCTAATCATGCTGTCTGGTACATTCCCATTCTCCTATACTACCAAAAAAAAGAGAGGGACGATCGATACCCGTCTATAGCATTAATTGAAGCGCAGTCGCAACGGTAGCGCCTTTACGCACGTCATCGCGAAGTCTGAGGGTACCCTTATCGTCAGCCAATCTGCTGGGCAGTCTGCCTTAATCACGTGTACACACCAGGGACTTCACTTTACCTACTCGGGAATTCCAATTCTATGATCTTATCACATATCTTTGAGTTCTCATATTATGCTCATTGTCAAAAAGAATAAAGTGTAATAAATATGAATATTGTGAGCAACATGAACAACAACCAAAAATGGCGAACAGGAAGGCTAAGTGAGAGGCAGAAACGACGAGTGAGTAGGAGAATTTAAAGATATGTGATAAGATCATAGAATTGGAATTCCCGAGTAGGTAAAGTGAAGTCCCTGGTGTGTACACGTGATTAAGGCAGACTGTCCCAGCAGATTGGCTGACGATAAGGGTACCCTCAGA